CCAACATACCCTAATATATTTACTGCTGTATATTTGCGAACACTGATGTGATGGCTAGATTAAAGTATAAAGAACGATCGAAAATAGGAATAGATCAAAATGTACGAAATAATGTCGACAATAAATTATGATCACTATAGTGAGCTAAATGTTGTATCTGAATATCTACTGACCACACTCCCTATGTTACGTCATCGGCGTTGCTATAGACTACTCTAGGCAATAATGGATGATAAATTATCGCACTATAGCTAGTACTGTACTAACGGATATCGGAAAGACCTTGTTGAACCCCTAAATCCTGTAGTGATTAATAACTGTTAGAGATGAAAGGTTAGTCTATCTATCTGGTTGTATGTCTGGCTGTAATACTTGTGATTATCTTACGAATAACACAGACATCACCTACTCATTGGACCCAGTGTAAACAAGACAGTGATAGTCCATTATGGTCGTGTGGGGGATCATCGATGCCACCTTCAGATATACATGGCGAAACTATCATCAAACTACTTCAAACTTGATCTCATACACTCATTATTAAATACTTTGCCTTTGAATTATTTTCATTCCAAGCAAAGCCAATCTCTCAAGAGGAAGTAATCATAGCCGATAAAACTAGTGAACTCGATTAGATGTAGCTTAGACAAGAGGGTTTGTACGTTTTGTACGTTCCAAACTCCCTTTGTTTTGTTTATATAAAGGGTGGAACTCCAAGACTCTTGAAAAGTCTTGAAAGGTGTGTTTAAGGTGTGCTCTGCATAGGCCTGTCTATGATGAAGAGGTCTCTTGATCACAAAGTACCTTTCACAACACTCTCCTCAAGGGCGGATCCAGGCCCCCCTTCAGCAGAAAAACAAAACAAAACTGAAAAATTGGATGCTTTTTTATTGTTTTCCGTTGTGTTGACGGAGGAAACTCAATTAGCCCCCCCCCCCCCCCTGGCTGGATCCACCCTTGCTCCTAAGTAAGTCGCCTATGCGCACATGCAAGTATGGTTCTATAGTGCTATCATCAGTATTAGTGTAGTCAGATCTGATCTGCTAATGGAATACCAACATCAACACGATCAAGATTATTTGACACTAATAGATTGTCATTAGACAGATTGGATTCAGGTATTATCACGATAGTTTTGCTGCTCAACGTTTCCAAAAAAAAACTAGATGCACCGCCCGTAAGACGTATCTAGATACTTTAATTATTTGTTTGCGTGACTAGTCCTTGACGTTTTCACTTGTTAGACAAGTGTTATCTTGTTTTGCGCTGTACCTATCCAAAAATCATCTTATATCCTAGCATTGACCAACAACTAATTAGCTAGGGCCCAATCCGCCACGTTTACATAGTTATTACTAAGTAGAATTTCTGCTCTGCTTCTTTGCCAGTCTTGTGCGTACTCCCAGTACAATATTCAAAGCGATTAACAAACGATCAGAATTTATTCTTATATTTGACGGACCGACAAGACTGACTTTATAGTCAGACCACCCCAGATCGACGCAGCGGCGTGTGTGTATCACAGAGTGCCCACATCAGATAAAGGCCAGTAATGAAGCTATTAGTTTTGTAATCTTTGCGTTAAGCGTCCAGTGCTGCATGCCGATTCCACTGGCGATGATCGACTACTAACCTGATGTAAGAAACTAAAACAACCGGCTTGTACCCTGAGGGGTGGGGTAGGGAGGACATGCCTAGTACCCTTCACCACCCCTACTGTCACACACGCTTATCACGAACTTTAGAATCAATATTTACCTAATGACTGCTGTAGATGGGGAGGGGAGGGAGGGGAGGAATAGGATATGTTAACTTTCCCTCTACATTGCGGGTTATCAGGCGACAATCAACACCCTAGCCATTATATGAAAGAAGAAAACACTAGAACATTGGACAGGTTATTAGATAGCATATTCACTAAAGTATGTTATCAGTGTTAATAAGTAATGTCCTGTGTGTATATGTAAGGATTATGGATCTAACATCCATCTGGACAATTCGTTAATATCACTACTTCTACAAATATTTAATTCTTTATATTTGTTTGAATAATAAAACTTATTCAAACGGTTTTCCTTTGGTCTAATGTGTTTATATCAAAACGATTTGCTCAGTAAGACGTTGACCTAACCCTATAATATATCAACAGTGCTTATAACGATCATTGGACTTGATGATGATGATGATGATGATTTGCATCACTGATTCAAGGCGGTCGGCGGTCTTCTCGCATGTCGGCTCGAACCTTGGTATGTACCATCATATTAATCACTGGATTAGTGCACAAATCGATAATATATGATGAGGAAGATTGCTGTGGTATTATTATAACTACAACATTCATGCAGTTGGTTGCCGACTGTCGCATGCCTGATGTGGTAACTGAAGCCACCTTCTCTTCCTCATACCCTCCCTCTATACCTTGTTGGTACTGACCGCGGGCTGAACCCGTGTATGAACCGTGCTAGACTAGACTATATCTTCACCACTTGAAAACCTGGGAGATAACAGATGACGTGATTGATACCTTCCTACCCCGGCTTGGTGATCTACCATCACCTGAGGGATCACGAAGAACAAGAGAAAAATTGTCTTCCTAAAATTGCATTAAATTTTAGTCTATTATCGTCTTCCGTGCCTCTTTCAGGCATCGCTATGGACTCTCATTTTATGGCTCTCTGAATCTCACATTTTTGTCAAAGATTCTTTTCTTATCACATACTCATATCCTCTATACTCCTTGAAATAGGACTTTATCCTGATTAGGAAGTCTTACTTTGGAGAAAACTTTGGTTCGACGCTTTGAGTCGTAAATGAGACGGCTAGCAGTAAATGAATTGATGGACACTACTGACTCTAGTGCTTAGTTTAGCTATATATATAATATACCTTTATAGAAGAGAGAGTTGGGGATCTTGACTATGACACTACTGACTCTAGTGCTTAGTTTAGCTATATATAATATACCTTCATAGAAGAGAGAGTTAGGGACCTTTGGTGAAGTTGACTTCCATGGAGAAACACGGAATTTGCATCTGCAGATGGTGAGGATGTCAAGATGGCAGTGAGTATGTATCTTGAGCATTTTTACTGGTTAATTCTCGTGTGATGCTCAACAAATACTGAACGAAATCAAATCGTGCTTCGCTCTTCTCTTTATAAAGAAGCCACACAGCTTATCTCAGTACTTGTCAGTAATCAGTCCCTCGATAAGGCAAAGCCATTTTACAACAAGCTAATTTGATTACCAACAAAAAATGAAGAGATATAAAAATAATCGTAAATGATAGCGGTATCAGTATCTATCGGTTATAAACCCTTCTCACATCTAACTACCCAGCCTTAATCAAACCCTCACTATCTCTTGAAAAATTTCTTTGTGTTAATCATCGAGTTACATGACTATCGACATCTTTCTCTGTTCTAACATTGAACGAGAAGAAATGTTTTAGCGGCGAGTCGATGCAATACTATCAGTCAGTCATTCCTCTAAAACATTTGATGACAGCCAAACTAATCCATTATAGTTATCCTACATGTGTTACTACTCATCATGGATCATTATGGTATACAGAACATCATGTGACGCGCGGATTACGTGCAAGTAACACCGATTTTCTGCTATCTCGAGTGCGTCGTTTGCTCAATCTTTCCAAGAAGAGACACCGTATTCATCATGTTTAAGTCATATTATCTTTCCGTCAGCTGTAGAATTGCCATTTACATTATCGTAGTTTAAGCGCTGTGTGCCGTCATCGATAATGGGAAATCCAAGCTAGTTTACAAAACACCGGGAAAACATCATCACAATCACTCAACTGCGGTGATTTTGTTTTTTCTTCTAAATGTTTTTTTCTTTCTTTATAGTTTGTTTTGTTTTACTTTAATTAATTGCCTTTTTTGTTACAGTTTTTTGAATTGTTCAATAAACTCGAAAGGAGTGTCAGGAGAGACGTGCTGCATGCAACACCCACCAACCTAATTAGGAACTCCATCAAGGGAAGATCATGTTTGCAGTTATTGTGGGGGGGAAAAAGAATTTTTTGCTCTACTGAGTTTTACACTCGAGAAAAGGAAAGGTCTAAATAGACTAAATACTTCTTTCTTTAGGGTTTAACAAGCAGAGATTGTGTAATAATCTTCAGGTATAATATGACTCTTTCTTTATAAATAAATTGCTCATTAACCGCGGCGAGTTACCTTCAGATATTTGAAAATCTTAGGGTTCGTTCTCACAGATACAAAATAGAGCTCAAGATTAAACTGTAATACTGCAATTCAATAGATGTAATTATAATGAATCTAGTAATGCAGAGGGGAGGGCTGTCAGTACACCGACATGGGTTCATCAGTGAGGCCGTGACTAATGATTAATCTTATCAAATCAGTTCAGCTAACTAAAGATCAAAACAGATAAATATAACTAAATAACTAACATAAACTAACTAACCTTGTAAGTGATGCTGTTGCTTTTGTTCTTCCTCGCAAAAGAAAGATATCTGGCCATATTTAGTGTCGAAAGACGTAATGAAAGCGCTACACAAGTTGTAATGATGACCTTTGTGGAAGTATTTGGTCCACACCAGACAATCCATTCTATTCATTCGAGTATTGAGTAAACTCTTGGTTAGTTTATTCTCTTTCTTTGTTCATCGGTCAGTACTCACTGACGAACCGCTTTGAAAAGAAATTCATTCAAATTCGAGCGCTTCGTATCGCTTTAAATGACAAACCACTTGTATCGGAAATGGTGCAGTCTAGTGATTGACGTAACAGACCAGTTATTTAATTAAAGTCAAGGCACGTTCGTTCTTTCAATCAAAATGGCGGCAGTACATCTCACTTCCGGTGAAATTGAACCCCATTATATATTGCCGCAGGTGTTTCTAGAGATATGAATTAACTAATGAAAACTAACCGCCATGAATCGTACAGTGTGTGGCTAACAAATAATACTATGCACTAACTAACTAACTGGTTAGTACTTCACAAGATAAAGTGATCTATATCAATATCAATATCAATTTCAATAAGACTATTCTGGTCTTACCTTGAAGGCGACTAGAGTTCTCTTCTCTTTCAAGAGTTGATAGCTGTAACCACAAAAGAGAAAACCATAGATAAATAATCCGGCTATCGTGGTTGGCGCTGATCATCGCAGATTCTAGAGGCCTTTGATGTGTGTGATACTGAAAATCTGATTGCGCTTGCAGACCCCTGCTATCAGACCTATCATAGCGTTTCATTGACTCATTCTAGAAAAACAATTTAATAAGTGTTGGGTTTGGGTCTGACTATTCTATCATGAAGAACAGTAGTAATAACTACTCTGTAATAAGTACCGGGTGGAGGACGGGAGTGAAATATACTCGGGGTAGGCCGGCAGAGTACTGACGGAAGTATGGTTATCGGTATGGAATGTTGTACTTCTGACCAGGAAATTTTCTTATTGTAACAAAAGGAAACGCCTTAATTTTAAGTGGCAACTTTATGCATAAAGAATAGTGGTATACGTATGTCTATTACTGTGATATGATGTGAGAGTATATTAGTAGTTGGTGTGGTTTACGAGTTAAAAGCTAGTCCTTTAGCCGTTTACACCACACAAAATACCTAAATGAGCCTACAGCAGGTAAAAGAGAGGTGTGCTTCTGAAGTGTGCTGACACTTAGTTCATCATAAAAGTGATTAAACGGTACGGTTTTGGTGAATAGCGGAGAGTTTCTGGTTCAGATATCGAAAACCACAGTCTGTAATCCTCGTGAGAAAGTGGGTCTGTTGTTACTATAGTGTGGTTAGACGTCACTGACGTCCAGTTTTATCTAGGAGCCCTGAGTTTTCTCCTACTCGACTCGATAAGCAGAGAAAAGGTGAAATCTAAAATACTTTTTACACGCCTCATACGGCACTGACACGACCGACAATACTAAAATCCATATACATGCACACATATTGTTTTACGTACAGCGCCCAAGTGTATATGCAATTGAAAAGATCCCCACGATCTGACTTTATCATTCCCGTACTAGTGTCAATCTGTCGCAGTTGGAGTATTATTAGGAAAGATTTAGTTATTCCATGGTAATTCGTTTAGACATGTATAAAATAGGCTTGTCATCTGTTGTCTTTCCCATCACCCAGGAAGAAAACGGAACAAAGCTTTGAGTGTAAATCCCCCACTTCCTTTACTCATGTCCGACCAACATGGACGTTCTGTCAAGCCGTGGCGTGCATGTCAGTGGTAYAAATACTAGGTTTCTCAGTATTGTTGTCGGGTTAGAATTAAAATGACCACAGAGGTAATTGTCTGCTATATTAGCAACTCTAAAGACCAAYGAATCTTTGGCCTCAGTTATTCATAAGTGAACTCCTATGATAAATACATCCATGGCCCATTAACGACTATACTTGTCTTTCTCAATCTACCTGATATAACTGAAGATCTCGTGTCTCATCTACATGTTTCAATCAGCTCAGTAATATAGTCAATACTGTTTTGTTCTTGTAGTGATTTTTTCCTTCGTCACGTTTGACTTCTCGTTTTCACTCTTTCATTCACTCTTTTTTTTTTTCTTTTCCCGCTCATTCATTCATTTAGTTACACATATCTATTCATCACAACAATCTCAAGTTATGATCATCTGGCAGTGCTTTGTCATTTTTTCTTTCCTTTCATTTATTTCGTTATTTTATTTCTTTCATCGTCTTATTTATTTTCTTTATGTCACACTTCTTACAGATATTTTAAAGTCATTCACTGATAAACGGTTATCCTGCTAACAATATTTACTGAGTTACGGATTCCTTTAAAAACAAAGCCTTGTTTATACCATATTCAATAAATGTTTTACTGGTCAACATCTATGTAGGGGGCTGTTTATCTGTGGTTCAATCTTAATGAGACCACTCATTTCGGTCGTGCACAATGTCATGCGTAAAGGTAAGGTTTGTTTTTATATTTGATAAACGATGATGACGCGCACATGGTATAATGTTACAAAGTGTAGTAGACATTTGCATAAGGTGGCAATTCTTTAGTAACATTTAGTATGGTCTGTACTTTTAAATCTGTTGTACTTAATTTATTTAACTATATCATAGTAACTTTAAAGTACAAATAAATCGATTGATTGATTAACCGTGGCTTACATCCATTTTGTTATTTCGGTAATAGTACACTCCACAACTACAGCATCTTAGGATTCTTAGGATTACTCTTTCCTCATTTGTACGCGCGGAGGGTTTGGGCAAACAGTAGCTATAGAAACACAGGCGTGTACAAGGGGAGACTGAAGAAACAGGATTACCTTTTTGATATCCCCTTCACTTTGATACTTGGTCACGGTAGGCATGTCTTCATAAGAATCTTCATCATCAGAATCAACAGGTGATATGACAGGCATGAGAAACCTTGGTGATGGTGAAGGAGGGGAAGATTTTCTACCAAGGATAATGTTAGGTGATGATACACTCTCGGTAATGGTACTTGCTTCCATCCGCTAACAATAAAACAGTCATTAGAAAACATTTGTAATGAGTAGTATAGCTACACCGCTATATTGGTAACAAGTATGGATATTCATAGACGTATGACGTCATCAATTGGTATTAAAATCTAAGTATATCTGTGAGTAGGTATCCATTAACGCACCAACCAATCATAGTGCTTCATCACTTCCTGTCATTAGGGATTTTTATAGCACTGATTGGTTTGGGGAACTCTCTATTTCTGTTTCAGGAAGGCATGTGCCGGCTGATTTAGAATTCATGAATGTACAGATTCAGTGGGATTAGAATAAAATAAGTAAAAGTATCTCAATAACTTATGCCATGTTGCATAAAATCTATACTATAAAATTGTGCAGCTATTTTACACCAGTACTGATAAATTAACGAGAATGAATATTGAAAATAAAAAGCGGACTAGAACAATCTTGATGGTGATTGTTGTATTCATTCGTTCATAAGCCAATATATTACTGATTCAAGCCGTGGACAGTTATGTATTATTGATGTAGATCAGTCTCAACTCACGATAACACCTACAAAAATAACGCGAACGATCTAACGATTCTTCAACAGTTTACTCATACAAAAAGATTTTCGAATGTTTTGAATCAATATTATTCGAGTAGAGCATGGTTTTAGCCTTTTACGACGACATAGCTGATCCAAAATAAGCTATTAAAATACTTCTATTAAACTGGAACGATTCGTTGATTTAAGAAACATCCATATCGGGCTAATACTGATTTAAAATATTAGGATATGAGTAAAATTCACCCTGATACTGAATGTCTTTTGCGTATTGGACTTGACAGAATAATCCGGCCTTCCCTTCACTCCATTTAAATGACTCAAACATTAAAGTCAGTTTATTTAGATTCATCCTACTGACGAGTGGATGTAACGACAGATACAGTGCCAGTACCGTGTGCGGCAAGTGTTCCAAGAGAGCCATAAAAGTCACTAGCGGACATGTAGTTCTAATCAATACCTTACCATACACAAAAGCTTGGCGCCATCCCGTTCTTTCATCTGTTCTTTCATCAAGTATTTCCTACTAGTTTTTCTAATTTGTGGTTGAAATAACATGGTGGACTTAAAGGGCAGACAACCATTGACTTTCGTTTTGCTATCGTGCTGCCTCATTTTGTACAGACCACAGCAAGTTATCAGTCGCAGGTTTATAGCGCGATCACTGGCTTCAAAAACACGAACCGGCGAACAATCCTTCAGCCATGCATATCACTAGTATTTGTTATGCGACCTTTTTAGGTAATCATCATACTGCTGAATTAAACTAACGACACTTGTACGTCAGGCGAAACAACTATGGAATATCAATCATATATGCACGGCAATCGGTTATGTTCTGGTACGGATCAGGAGGTTGGTGAATATTTAGCAAGAATACATTACTCTATTCTTGTCGCTGGTCGCATAGCGACGTCTTCCACCTGTTTCGTCTAGAGATCAATGCAGTTAATCGGTTCGATTTGTTATGACTTAGTGTGACCTTGGACAACCCTAATCGACACCCAGCCAAACTATCGACGATGAGAGGAAACCTCGTATGAATATAGAAGAAAAGAAGTCTGCTATGAGAGTCATGGCCAATAAAGTTATGTAAGGATGTAGGTATATTAAGCCCCGTTTACACTGGCGATCTTTGCTGCGATTTTTGCTGTGATTTTTGTGGCAATTTTCAGAAATATAAAATCTTTTGTCTCATCCTTCAAAAGAGACATTCGTTTAGGAAAGTCTTGGTATCCTGAAAAAAACTTTACGAGTAAATTCTTTACCATTATTTATTATGGACAAAATCGCAAAAAAGGTTATCAGATTAAACACGCAGTTAGGAAGTGACTTGGAAGAGTCTGTATATTGATGATCATGAATACAGACAACGGAATGAGTAACAATTCAGGAAAATATTCTACTAGAAAAATAAGCCGATAGTAGTGATTGACGTTTCGACATCATCAGATGACAATGATGATCATGTGAGCATTCAAATTAGTGAAACTGAGGAATTAGAAACCGAAGGATACAGTCACGTGATCGTGAAGTATATGAATGTTACTGAATGAAAGAATAGAAGGGAAGAACACTCGTATATTATTCAAAGATGTAAATTCGTTTTGCAGAAACAAAAGTGTTACTGGCGTCGCATTATTTCGTTAAATTTTATTATACTCTGTTACTTTATGTTATGGGTGTATTTTCTCCGATAAAATTAGCCTAAATTTTTTCCTTGACAATCAGCTGTCGTCTTACTAGTGACATACTAGTGTCGTACCAGCGTCATATAAAGATGCTGGATTTAATACATCAGATATATTGAGAGAATCTTGCTTCCACTGATGTGTTAAAACAAGGTGGTCGTCTTAAGAATACCTCAAATACCTTGGTTTGTTGCGGTGTTCCTTTATGTGTTCTTTTTTTTTTAAACAATTTTCTTCATATTTCTGTCATCATTACATATTAAAATATATTATCTTCTAAACAATAGAACGAGCACAATTCCCTTTCAAGACGATTGACTTTAATTCTTGGTACATATTGTAATGCATAGATTGTATGGCAGTTAATAAACATTACATGTCATACAGACCGGCACCTAGTGAGTAGAGCAACACAAGTCATGCTGTGTGTTTAAATCACTAGAGTAATGCACACTGAGCTAAACTAGAAGGTTTTCTACTAAAGAAAAACTATCATGAGTTTTGTCTGTGGTTATTCTGTGTTATTCTAAGTATGTCGACTATTCTTTTTCCTTTCGTTGAATAAACATCGTGTTAATTGTTGTTGAGAATGGAGGCATTCTCTCGTAACAGACCATTGATCATCTTAGGAATATTTACAGCTAGTGGTTGGTACGTAGCTCATGTTAGGTTCATATTCACGCATAAGGAAATAACCGGTTTATTACTTACCTTTAAGTCTAACATAGTTGTTCAACGCGAGCTGCTGAATAGTTCGTAGGTCTTGACATTCACATGAATAGCATTGTTGCTATCACAGTCTTGATGTTTTTACAACCAACTTGTTGTACTTGGATTAACTACTATCTTTCAATATAGACTGAGAGAGTCTTAACTCGCGTCTATGGATGTTCATAGGATGATCAAGGACACCTAAGTTACGAGTCATCAGTGGATAGCTAGATGATAGAGTTCATCAGCAGTAATCAAGAGATCTGTTAATTGTTTACTTAAAAGTCTTCCATGTGTGATAGCCAATTGTGATTGGTAGATTCCTTTGTTTCTTTAATTGTCGACGTGTATTTCACTTAACAGAAAACATTACCTCATTAAAACATGTTCTATGTATCCGGTTCCTTATTGGCTGTACTTCAGCTCTGACATTTCACAAGATGTTCAGATAACAAAATCAACTAGAAATCTCTGAAACTCTCCAAAGGATCTCCGATCTTTTCTCTATGATTTTCTTATTAAATTAACAAAACTCAGTGCAAACTCTGGATTACCTCATGACATCATTACTGACGTATATTATCCACACCCAGTCCCTTGGCGATGGCTTGCGAGCAAAACCATCCCACGGGGGGAGAGGGGAGGGGGGGGGGGGGAGAGGATGGAATAAAAGACTGAGAACTTCTGCATCCCTTTTTAGCCTTACACGTGGATAGGATACTTTCTTGATGTTCCGTTTTTGCTGTAATCAGTCTTCAAAAATATTTTCATTTACCTCGAGAACTTCCTCTTCGTTTTCCTCTCCCAGACAAATTCTTTTCTGCTAGTTCCTAATAGGTTTTCAGCTTTCTTAAAAATCCGTTATTGTATGTATGTGGGAAGCTCCATGCCCGCAATCTTATGATTTATGAATTATTTTTGCTCTTAGACTATGTGAGGTACTGTGTTTCTCAGCCACATCGATGTTTTAAGTCTTGCTGCATCATTATGTAGGGGCCTGTACAATAGTATTTCACAGTAGCCTTGGCATAATTTTAAAACTAGGGTACGTCAGCCTTAGTATGGCGAGAAAGGGTTTCATTCAACACCAGAAACAAGTACTTGTTGACCTTGATCTAATAGACTCAACGCCGACTCAGTGTAGTTTGTGATACTTCCGTCTTGATGGATTTATATCGTTTTGTTTTTGAATTAAACCATTCTGAATTAATTGTGTTCGTGTTAATCCTGCACTGACCACACGTTTGCCCCACTGACGTCATGAAATCACCCATGCAGTATAGAGGAAATGAGGGAACCTTTTCTTACCTGAAACTATCAATGCTATTTGATTAAGTACTTCATGAAAACCATTTTCATTAAGTTTTTATAAATTTGACTGAATACCAACGGAATCTATGAGAAATCCAAAATATTGAGTTTTGTATGTGTTTATCACTGGAGGGCCTCGTTTTGGGGCATTTTCAAAACTTCAAAACCTCCTACTTGTATCTTGTCAAGGATTTTTTTATTAGGAATTCACACACATTTTCTAAATCAATAATTTTCATTCCACGAACTTTAATTTTCGACTTTTAACAAGAACTCGGGAGCTAGAATATGGAAATTATTTATTGAACCAGTTATGCGTGAATACCTTGGCACAAGTGTTTAATATTGGGCGCCGTGCTGACTATTCTCTTTCTATGTAAAGCATGCATATTATTATCAGAATGCGGATACAACGTGTTTTACATTTTACGGACTTATTATTCGGTTAAGTTCACTTTCTAGTTATTAGCGGTCTTTCCCTTCCTCTCTCCCATTTCCCCCGACTCCCATTACCCCTCGACTCCCATTACCCCTCGACTCCCATTACCCCCCGACTCCCATTACCCTTCGACTCCCATTACCCCTCGACTCCCATTACCCCCGACTCCCATTACCCCTGGACTCCCATTACCCCTGGACTCCCATTACCCCTGGACTCCCAT